GTTCATCACTCCTTATGAGCATCCATGACTTGCATGAACAGAAAATGAATGACCATATATATATATATATACATACAATACCACATAAAATGGGAAAAGTTCTGTACAGTTTAGTCTGCATTAATACATGTATTCAATATTTGCACGCTGCTTATAACTGCTAAATAGAGAAAGGTTGAAGTGGTGGTGGAAAGTATAGTGTGAGTGAGTGCGCAATCACAATCAAATCGAAAATTTATTGAAATGAAAAGAGCAAAATGCAAAAATCTGGGCCTTAGTAAATAGTTTCATGACTTTGAGACTCATGTGGTAGAGAAGTCCGGGGAGAGGGGTGGTTAACAACCCAATCCTTTTCCTTTAAACTATTCTCACTCCCCATACGAAAGAGCCAAACCCCCCAAACGCTAACGCTATCTCCCCGTGGATTCTGCAAAATGTGTGTCAGGGCCTCAGAAGTGTGGCCAAGGCAAACACCTGGCACAGCTCAGTGATCTGCTACATTTCACCTTCTACCACAGAAATATGCACTCGGGGAGTTCATACGCACGGACATAAACTCTAACAACGGGGCTGTCTCAGTTTCAGACAGTGTGTGTGTGCGTAATAGAACATACACACACACACACACACACACACACACACACACACACACACACACACAGACAGACAGACACAGCAGATGCTGGTAAATGTCAAAACATTCACACATGCATGTGCAGCCGTTTGCAGACAGGCAAACAGTCCCTCTAAAGGCGAGTGAAACAAGTGGAGCCCCCACCCGCCCCTCCCTCTCTCTTTTTTGGCCTCCCTTCCTGGTGGTGTGTCATGTTTCGGGGGGATAATAGGTGCTACGGTGAGACCCCTTTGGTCTCAGCGCTCTGGGAGACTCTAATGACACAGACACACAAATGTACACAAACACACACACACACACACACACACACACACACACACACATTGAGCCATGTGAGCACAAGCAGCTCATTCTCCGGACCATGGGAACCAAAGATGACTCTCCACTCCCCTCACCTTTCTCTACCTCCATCAGCTTCTTTTTTTTCCTCCCTTACTTTCTCTTTCCTCTGTGTTTTTTTCATCCCGGACACACGTTCTCTATCTGTTTCGTTATGTCTCTCTTTCATTCAGTTAAACTTTCGTTAAAGTCCCGATGTCAAAGTTGATGAAGGTATTATAGGGTAACTGCCAGCATCAAGCCTGAAATCCATTCGGAAAACTCGCCAAAAATCACCCAAAAAACAAATCTGCAAAGGTAGATAAGCTGCTTTGCTATTAAGAACCTGTGATCTGATGATGTAACAAGATAATAAAAATCGAATTATCATTTTAGAACTTGTTTCTTGCATATTTAGTTTTCCAATTCCAATTCCAATTTAGATAAAATCATTCAAACCAGAAGTTAATCACTAAGATAGAAGTCAGGTGGGGCAGCGTCCATAAGCAGTCAAACAGAGGTTTAAGTTGCTTTGGTTAGCCGAACGTGAAAATGAAAACCCACAAATCAACTTTCTGGATCAACTTGAGAGCAATAGTGAAACGCATTTTCTTCAAGTTTCTCCAGTGAAGTGCAGGATCGATGGTATCATGGAGGAAATCACTTTCAATCAATAAAGTCGTGAAAATAATCCCAGTTTAACTGTTGTTTCTCGACCACTTGGTTCTTGGCGATGTCATGGCATATTCCCAGATCTCTGCATTTACATTGGTGAGGGGAATATTATCATAAGTACATAAAAGAATCCACATCTCTACCATGTATAATAGATAGTGATCCTTAAAGACCCTCTCCATTCTGCCAATTCTACCAGCAAGACACTAATGATGAAGTCAAGTTTGATTTAAAAAATCAAAGTGCCAAATTTGAAGGGTGTGGAACCTTTGTGACCACTTTTATGATTATACATTATTATATACAGTGAAAAGGGCACAATCACATAACATACTTAAAGGGTTTCATTTAACAACGTCTAAATGAGACTTTTGTTGCAGGATTTCTTCAGGATGACGGACACATGATAAACTACCATGACCTACACCTGTATTAACTTTCACGTATTGTATTACGTTTCCTCTTTGTCTACCTTTCTAATGAGATGGGCTGCAGGAAAAAGCTTCTCGCAGCCACGAGGCAAAGAGGGGAAGGGCTGAGGTGAAGAGAAAGGGATTATCCCTGTAGGTGTAGAGTTGGAGGCTTCTGTCTTCTCCTCCGCCTCCTGTTTTTCTTCAGGCTCGGGGAGTAAATGTGTGTGTGTGTGTGTGTGTGTGTGTGTGTGTGTGTGTGTGTGTGTGTGTGTGTGTGTGTGGTGGTAAAGAACAATGGTGTATTTCGAATGTGTGTGCACACACTATAAACATGTTTTTAACAGCGTTCCGTTTAGTTGCTGTCAGTAATTACTGATATTTTCTCATCATTGGGTGAAATTTAAGGCGTTAAAAGCCTGTGTTCTTTCACCTCCAGACGTCTTGTCCAGGTGAGCTTTTGGCCTCAGCCAATCACAGGAAAGAATCACTCTGCTGATCCATCACATCAGTCCACATCATGACGCCAGGATAGAGATTTTCTCTAAATATTATAATTGTTTTTTGGGGGGTAGAATGTCGCTTTTTATGATTATTTTCGGGGAGCTAATACTGAATTACCCAGTAAATACACAACAGCTGCTTGTGGCGAGGAGGAAAATAAATAAAAACAACCAGAAAAGGACGAAAAGATCCTGATTAAAGTTAACTAGTTGTCAAATAAAAAATAGGTTGATCCTTCACAGAGAAAATAAACTGTGGTCGGTTTGAATTCAGCTACAATGGATTTCAAGTAAGACCAATTTTCACAGCTGAAAGTACTGAAAAAAACCTTCCACAGAATATTTCTAAATTTCTGTCGTGCTACAACCCGTTTCATCAACAGCATTCAGCATTCTATGTTCTCATTGAAGCAGCCATCTATAAAGCCTAGTCCAACTATTTTTGGAGGAGTTTCGGGTCCTTTTGACCTTCTATGTTCTTAAAGGCCTTTTCTTCAGCCATTCAGTCAACACATCCCTCCCTTCACACAACCATGCAGACAAATTATTACCACATTTATTAATACCATCACAGTGTTATGACATTGTTTATAATGTCACTCAACTCTGTGTCTCACTGTTCTGTTTGTGTGTGTTTACTGTACGTGTTCATCCTAGCAACGGCTACTCGGTGTACTAAACAAACCGAGCTGTTTTTTTAATCTCTTAATCTGAACATTGGTGTGTGACTGGACATGTTCACCACCCCCCACACACGCCAGTTACTCTCTCACTCGGGGATGACATCCTTATGACTTAACCCTGAAAGCTCATCCAAAAGTTACATAAAAATGCAAAGATATGCAAATTAAATACGATTTTGCATTTAAACTGGACACGGAAAAAGCTGCTGATTCATTCAGCCCATTCATGTTCATGTTTACATAGAACACCATAATTTGCAATCTGTTGATTTGAGTATTGATATTTCCAGTGAACTTCTTTGGTACGCAGTTCTGTACTGCCCACTCTGTCATGTCTACAAAATAGAGCAACAGTTAAAGATTGATGCTGCAACAAGGGTTTTATTTTTACTTGTCTAGTAGCGGAGGTAATTTATTTTCACCTCTGTTGTCCTCAATGGTTCCTGAAACCCTTAAACATTCGCGGAAAAACTCCACCAATGCAGCCGTGACATCAGCCCCGACAACCAGGACTTGGTTTACACAGACTTGTATCTATGCACACACCTACGGTTTAAATAAAGAAGGAAACCTGCACAAGTCTGTGAGGCAAATTCTCATGCAAACCTGTGCTTGTCCTTTTCAGCATATGTCAGTCACTGCTTTATCACACGAGACACCCTGATTGGCTGGCACTCATCATCACGTGTGTGTTAGGACTAATACACACTGCAAAACAAGCCCTTAAATCCTGGTTTGAGAGTGTTTGGGGTAAAGAAAGGCAAAGCACGGAAATGAGAGAAAACAAATTGATCAGAAAAAGCGGTAGGTGATGGAGGTCAAGCAGAAATCAGCTCAGGGGGACAGTTAGTTCCCCTTCTCCCGGTTTTATTCTAAAGTGAGTATTTGGTCTTCACTAGAGGTACAGTTAGGAACACTACATTTAAAAGGTGCCTCCTCACTTCTGTCTCCCTCCCTGTCAATCCTTCAGTCATTCTCTCTCACAGCATCGCCCTAAATGGGACCAGGACCTGTTGACCTGACCCTTGACCCCTCCACTGATCACCATCCCCCGCTGTATGTTGCCATGGTGAGGAAGGAGGATTAAATTCTATGGAAACAGTAGCCATTCTTGTCCTTTAGCTTTTGTTATCAAGTATTTGTACAACAAGAGATGATACTTGTTTTGAGTTATTGGTGTGTGTGTGTGTGTGTGTGTGTGTGTGTGTGTGCATGACAGGGGAGCATGGAGGGATAACCTACCACCAGATTCTTGTAGTCCCACTAGAAGCCTAATCATTCCCAGCAGAACTAATTCTAAAACTAATACACTCTCACACACACACACACAAATCTCAAGTGTGACATTTCAAGTTCTGTAATTTATAGTTTTCATGAGTCTGTGCACACCCACACACATATATTGTAGGGCTGGTGACATACTGACCCTGTACATTTGGGAGGTTTTATTTATTGAGGTGGAGGACATTTATGTTTTACTATTTTATCTCTTTGACAAACTGGGGTAAACTTTTCAACCTTTTCACGATTTGTTTCAATGTCTAACGCAACATCTATTACGAGCTAACTCCACATTTTGCACGTTGTATTCATGTACGTGCGTACGGTTACAAGTCTATTTGCTTTTGCTGTACTTGCATGGCTTCACTTATATGTATGTAAGTGTGTTTGAAAATACAGACTACCTGAGTAACAAAATACCATTTGTCTGTCTGCAGTGGTGGGGGTCACCGCCGTGTTGTCACTTAACCAACTGGCAGGACAATCCGTCATAAGGTCAAAGTTCAGCTTGAGGGTGTCTAAATATGAACCGAACACCACACTACACACACACACACACACACACACCCATGCACCCATGCATGGACTTAATTAAGGTAACACAAGGGCCAAGCAGTCGCTGTATGAGCTGAGAGCAGACAAAGTGGAGTCAGAGTTTTTTACAACACACACACACAAATATAACCGTCAGCCCACAAATCACTCAAATCGTCTTGGTTTCAGCTACTAATAAGGTGTGTGGAGAGGGTATGGTGTATGCTGTGGGTAAACAAAGGCCTTTGGGTGGAGATTAAACGCAAACTTGGATTCATTTAACTTGGATTGGTTTAGTTTGAATTGAGAAACTCGTGCATGCTCATACAGGAACACAAAGTACAGCCGTGTGGTGGTCAAACGTGTTGAAAGGAAACTTCTAAATGTTTTATGGTAGTTGACACCATTACAATCATCAATCTTCTTCGACAGAACATCCAATGAGTGAAGAGGAGACGCCCATTACAATGGACTCTGAGCAGTGACAGAGAATGGCGGCTGGAAATAGTTGCCTTACCAAAATGGACATATGGAATATAGCAAAGGAATGAGATACACACAATATATTATCCAGCCACCATCTGGGGAATCCCTCACCTTCACCATTCTGTAGCAAAGAAAGAGAGGGAGAGTAAAGGGAGGGGGGGGGAGAAAAACAAAGTATGAGGTCCAAAGAGTCAAAGGTTAAAGTCAAACGGTGTGTTATAACATCCTCCACTCTCTGTGCGTTATTCTCCTCACAGCCACCCGCTGGGTTTTCAAATCTCCGTTCGTTGGGGCTGATGACCGCTGGACGAGCCACCAGCTGATCGTTACAATAACAGCTTGCTTCTCCCGCATGTCGGCAGCAGCAATATCAATATGGGGAATTTAACTGCTAGTATGGACAACAGGGTCACGTCTGTAATGTCACTAGTGAACCTGGCTGTTTGTTTTCTTCTGGAAAAGGGTCCTGTGAGAGGGACGTGACTTGGGGAAGGACACGACAACAACCAATCAAGTAGCAAACGCAGATATCTGCGTATTGTTTTCAAACCAGTTCAACTCAGACTTTTCAAACTCCTTCATTTTTGGAGCTTGAACGCTTAAACGCGGCGGTGTGTAAACGCAGCAAGTGATATGCCTTTTTGCAAATGAAGTATCCTTTTTACCTTTTTTTCAACGTTTACTCATGACGGTACGGAAAACAAATCTGTGAGAATCGGTGTGAGGTGTGAAAGGGGCTGGTGAACGAGAGGAGGGAATGACAGAGACTATTGAACCACAAGAGAGCTCTTTGTCCATCACAGATATTTGGCACACACACAAAGTCTCTCTGCAATGCTACAAAGCTTTTCTCATCAAACATATGTAATGCCAGCTGAACAAGAGGCCCGACCAATCAACTCTGAGGTAGGTGTCCCTGTGTGATCCCGGCCTGCTAATAGAGTGCCTGGAATCACTGGATTAACATGACAGAGACCTCCTCTGATCCTCCAAGAAAGACACGATAGGAAAGTAGTAATCCTCAGACAGTCCACATTAAACCAGGCTGTGATTCTGCAGAGATGTTATATGTGAGTTATCCATGTGGAAGAGTTTATTAGGTACTAAAATACCTAATTTTTTACTTTTTCTTTGTTGTTTTCACAGGGGCCGTGCATATTGGTCAACATACAGTATTAAGATTGAGTTTTTAATTGTGTCATTAACTGTGAAACCCAAAACACTGTCCCTCTGTTTTCACACGTAGATTTGCTCCCACATAAACAGCATCGAAATTTAACAGTGATTTAAGTGACTACTCCTGTCAAACACAATGACATGACATAGCTTTTAAAACACTACCTCCTAATTACCCCACGATAACAAACACACAAAATGTTCCTTAGAAAAATGTGTTTACAGTACCTTGAGAAAATTCCCTCTGTACACTCTCAGAGATCATGCTGTGCGCAACACACTTTTATGTGAAGTTGGCTTGTTTTACTTCATCTTCATCTCCTTTGTAACAGAGTACGTTTCGTGTGACACTGGAGCTCTGGCTTTTAGAGAAAAAAAAGGCATAACGGTCAATCTAGTTAAAAGTGATGACAAGCTGAAAAAAGGAATAGAGGGGGCATGAAAGGGGGAGAAAGTCAGCGAGAGAGCAAAAGAAGACAAGAGAAACGGAGGCTCGGGTCTGTTTTTATTGGACCGCTTCTGGAAGCAACAAATGTTGCCTTAAATTTATAGCGGAACGTTCTTTTTACAGACTCTAGCACAGACTAAAGCAGAGGAGCGGACCCCTAACTGAATGAGTTAGAATTTGTTGTTCCGTTCAGATAAGACCTCACCCGCATGTTTGTCGGGACGCGTCCAGAAGCTGAAAGATAGCTGCTCGTTATCTTTCTTACCATAACAATGAACTCATTTGGATAAACATTTATTTGGTGAAATGCTATGTTGTGTAGCTCTGCGGTGTGCTAAAGACAGAGGTCATGTTGTAATTGGATATACAGCAGCAGCTGGATAGTCAGTACAACAGGAAAAAAAAATACGCTGTTTTCCTTTTTTGCAGAATCCAAAACATATTCACCAGAAAGACAACATTGTGCTAAACTTCCCCGTGACACATGCATTTGTGGTGTGCCACAATGTAGGCGGCTAGTACCATGCTCCCCAACTATTAGAAAAAGACACACAAACCCTTCCGCATCTCATTAAATGTCAGGGGACAAGTGCTCTTCTCTGCAATCTACCCCCCTTCTGTTTTCAGCTCGTCCCTCATTCCGCCGATGGCCAGTTCCCCAGGGGACAGGTGTGTCGCCACCCCCCCATACGCACACATCCCCTACCCCCCCATTCCTCTCAATCCACCCCCTCCCAGGCGCCAAGAGACAGGTGCGTTGTGTTGTGGCCTCACAGTGACCTCCTTACCTGAGGGGTAGTCAGGGGGTCTCCTCCTCCCCGCCATTCTTTTCTCCCTGCACCTATCGGGCGGCCCTCCACCACCTGCTCGAACCCCAGCTGCTGGTGCCGAGCGAGTTTGGTTCTGGATCTGGATCTGGAGGCGGTGAACAGTAGGGGGAGTAGGTGAGGGGACAGGGGAGACCAATTCTAGGGACTCGCACATCCCGTAGAGTGAATGTACTGAGTGGACGGCGGAGCAAAGAGTCACAGAGAGTGAGACGGACATGTGATACGACACGGCCCACCAGCTCTCTTTGTTCTCCCCCTTTCAGCAAATGACAGACAGGACAATAGCACCTGGCACTGCTCCTTCTCTCTCTATCACTCCTCCCCTCCTTTTCCTCTCTGCATTCTCCTCATCTCTCGCTCTGCGGCCCTCTTCAACTGCGTTTTCGCTCTATACACACAGCGGAAGTTTTACACTCTGGCCCGAAAAAACCTCATAATCATATGTTTTGGTAATTGGTAATCCCAGTTTTGGTAAACTGGGATGAGTCTCGGCCCAAGTTTCCACTCTTATCTCGGTGCCTGGAGCAAACACGGGGCGAAGCTAAACCATGAGGACAGAAGCAGAGCATGTGGAGCATTGTGACTGCAGAGTGGAGACGGTAGCTAAACATTTCCCAAAAAGCTAACAAGCTAGCCAGGTGCACCATGTAGTCTATACAAATAGGAAAGCTGTGCTGATTCTATCTTGCTAATTGGTGCTCTTCCTTTGTACGGAACTTTGTCTGCTGTGCACCTTCTGAATGAGGTAGAGACTTTTTATATGATGTGTTGTGCTGTTATGTTACTGTTATTGCATTATTGCAGTTCTAGTTATGGCACCGCCTAATATTATTTAGACAAAGAAAAAACAGGAATCCTCACAATTGCAGATCTGTAAATTGTTGGCTTTAAGTCTTGAAAAAGGAAAATGAATAAAATGCTCTTCATTTTATATATGAGTCTTTACTGTCGCTGTTCCCTTTTCATAATGATGTTCCTTTTGGTAAAGATGATTTGGCAGAATGTCTGACATGGTTGGACAAAATATTGTCACGTTTATTTGCAATATTCCAAAGCTTTTACAAAGTACAGCATTTATTTTATTTTTTCGCTTTCCAATCCCACTTAGCTTTTCTCCTCCTTCTCTTTGTGAACTCTTCACCCCATGGTTGCACTTCTGACTGTCTCTGCTTCCCCACACAGAGAACACAAAGACTCATTCACACACTCTACACCTGCACTGTATTCCAACACACACCCGCATTTACTAGTGTGTAGTGTGCCTGCTGTTCTGCTGCATTAATTGAAACCAGACTGACCCTAAAATATGTTGTGCATTTGGTGTTATCAAAAAATTAAGTGTGTTAGAAAACTAGATATACAGTGTGGAAGCCTGGAGAGACCCGCTTTAAATAGAATAGTGTATAGGGAGTGGAAAGCAATGTATGGAAGGGCCCCTCGGGAGACCTGTCCATTGTCCAACCAACATCCTCTTTGTGTGTCAGTTTGTGTGCGTGTGACAGGATGTTCCTGACACCTCTGAAAAGCCACTTCACCTCCCTCCACACCCTGCACACCCATTCCTGTGCATTGTTTCCTCAAGAGAAACAAGACGCAGCGAGAAGGACTTCATGCGTGAGAGTGTGCGGTTGTGTGTTTGAGTGTGTGTGTGTGTGTAAGCGAGAGACAGAAACAAAGTGAGGTAGTAAAGAAGTGTAGAGTACATGTAAAGGAGACAGAAGGAGTGGACGTGGGGGATGTTATTGTGCAGCCAAATGTGAGAATTTTTCTTAGACAGAGAGTCTGGTGGGCAAGACTCGAAGGGGGGAGTCGGCTCGAGATGACAAAGGGACTGAAAGGAGGAGAGGAGAGATGGAGGGATAATGGATGATAATGTGAGAAACAGGAGAGGAGCCAGTGAATGAGATTATCTGATCTGACTGCTCTCCATGCGGCAAAGACACAGTGGACACACGGATACACGCACGGGCCAACAAGAGAACAAACACACAGGCTTTGTGCCCTTTTCTCTCCCTTTGTCCAGCAACACCTCTCTGTACTTTACGTTGTTGCTTAATTACTGCCAAGAAGACGGGGTCAATTCCTTGTCAGCCAATTTCTTAAATATAGGGCTGCTTATGTTTTTTTGAGCCTGCTTTTGGACATCCACAATTTCATGAATTCCACCAGAAACCTTTTTTTTTTTAAACAAAGTGAGGTGAGGAAATAATATAACACAATGAGAGCAACTATAAAATATTCTAAAACAATCCAAATTTGTCCCAATGGTGCCATACTTCAAGAATTCGCTTATCAGCGACAAGGCAGCGCATCTCCTTAAATGAATAGTTATAAATGAAATTATGCCGATTTTCTTTCTTCCCAAGAATTAGATGATCAAGTCCACTACAGTAAATATAAAACTACAGCCAGTCGCCGGTTAGTATATAGCTTCACAAGACAACTAGCATGTCCCGGTCCAAGAGGAAGAAAACACACCTACCAGCTTATAATTGAACATCTCATATGTGGTTTGTTTAAACAACGTACAAACACTGAAGTGTGAAAACTGCATAAGGGGTAATGGTGGATTACATGTCTCTAGTAATTATTTAATGACATTTCCAAACATTCTCAACTACTACAAGGTGCTGTTAAGTCCTAAAAAGTCAAATAAAAAAAATAATTATCCAAAATACACATGATAAAAACATGTTACTTAATAGATTGTTTGGATTAATTTCCATAACAAAAAAAAACAGTTCCTAAAATGTCAAACTATTCTTTTACAGATCTCAATTGAGATCCGCCAGCAACCTGAACTGACAACCCAACTTCAGATCAAGGTTGGACTCAAAGAAATTGCACTGCAGAAAAACTGACCGACAACAGTGTGGAGGGTGACATGGCGTCTGGTGTGAATGGGGCCTGCTGCAGGAGATCAAGGATCATAGCTTTTGGTGTCTCCTGGGTTGAGAACACCGTTCCTCTCAGGAAACAACCCATTTTAAAGTGTCAAACTCAGAACGATAGAAAATATTCACACAGTGTGCAAGCAGCAACCTTTTCACTGTAGCTTTAGTCTGTCTGCTGCTCTGTGGGATTCTGGCTGCTCACCCAACCGGCCGCACTGTGTTTTGACTGCCTGTATGCATTCTTCAGTTCAGTGTTTTGGGCCAATCACGACTTGGTGAAGGGCATCTCATCGCTTGAGTTGAGATGGTTAACATCTGACACGTAGGCCTGTCCAATTAAAGAGTCGCAAAGAATACTGGCTGTTTGAGAACATTACAAGATTTCAGAAAAAAAAACATGTCTTGTTTGCTTAAATTCTGTGGGCTGTGTGAGTTGACCTGAAAGCTTTTTAGGAAAACATGCCTCTAAGGCACAGGGGGTTAGAGGTTGGCTAAAATAGGGACATTGTAATTTGACCATGAGAAAATGGTCTACTTGACTTTTCAGTTGTTCACAATTTTCTTTGTGTACAAATATGGATGTAGACAAAGTATGTGAGCTGTGAGTGTGTGTGTGTGTGTGTGTTCGCCTGCATGAGTGAGTGAGTGTCTGTGCCTAATCCACTGACAAAGAGAGACGTGTAGGATAATTATTGAGCTTCAGCCTTGATGACAGAAGCGCTTTTCTATTAAACTACGTAGCCTCTTTCTCTCTCTTTTTTTCTTCCCTTATTTCTCTCTTTCCATCTCCCTTTATCACTTTTCTTTTCCTCTTCCATCTCCCTTCGTCATCCTCCGCTGTCTCTCAGTCATCAATCTCACTTCTCCATCTTTCTTAATTCTCTAGCAACCTTGATCCCTTCACATTACCTCCCTTCAGACTGTACCCATCTAATTTCCCCTCTTTTCCGGCATCTCCCTCTCTGTGTACGTTTTTTAGGCCTTGTACATGTATGTGCTGACAGCCCCAATGAGGTGGTCCTCTGGAAGACATCTGAAAAATGTCCCTGTGCAATTACCCCCATGTAGACGCTGACACACAAAGCAATGGACAGGGAGAAACGAAAAGAAAATTCCACGATGGAGAAACATGTATTTAGAGTTTCAACACTTCACACTTAGATGCTTTCAAATTCAGACCCTGCACAGACAATGTGACGTACACCTTAACCTCTGGAAGGATAGCGCACACATACTTCCAGAAGCAAAGGCCACACATGCACTTGCAGTGGGATGATGATCGACTGATGTGGTAATCGCTCAGGATGATTTGCGTGTTTTAGTCACTGCATATGATCAGTTGTCAACTGGCACATAACAAAGGAAAAAACTGCACCCCAGCGGAAACGTGTGTGCTTTTGTGCATGTTGTGTCACTGTGTGAGAGTGCATGGGAGTGAAACGGAGACTGAGGATATCATAAACAGCCTTTCAGGAAGAGCCATTGTCTGCCAGGAAGGTTTATATTGTCAACCGTGCCAAAATAACAGAATTGGGGACATCCCAACGGATGTGTGTGTGTGTGTGTGTGTGTGTGTGTGTGTGTCTGTAGGCAGCTTATTGGGAGAGTAACATCACATGCTTGTGTCTGTGGCATTAGATGGGACGGGTGTGAAGACCCACTGGGCTACATTATCGATGTTGCCATTGTCTGAGTTATTTTATTAGTCGTGGCAGGTGATTTTGCCGACACTGTTCAACTTTAAGGCCAACCAGGACCTCAGACTCTGAAGTTGTCCCCTCGTACGTTTCAGTCTATCATATCATTCAATCTCAGACATGTTACGACTTCAAGAGATCCCTAAACAGTTTGCTGTGAGCTTTAGAGAGAAACTCTTGTTTTCAGCCACAGTGCAAATGAGCCCGATGGAGACACACAGGAGAAAATCGTTGGAGCTTTGAGGTATACAAAAGCCCCCCACCCATGACAATAGGACCAGCAGAGCAGCGAGCCGTTTTAATTGCCTGGAGCACTCCTTCCATGCTCTAAACCTTTAGACAGCCATATCCACCATTTCAAACAGCGCTCTCTCGCAGCCCCCACGTCCACTCGGTGCCTCTCCCTTTCTTAACCCCCCCTCCACCTCCCCTCTTCTTACTGTCCTTCTGCCTCTCTCTTAACTAGCTCTCCACTTCTTTGCCTTTTAGGCCTTTATTCCATTCAGCCTCTCCTGTGAAACCAGCAAACTAATTCATCTCTAGACAAATTGCCAATCAGCTGAGGACAAA